TTATACATATGTATATCTATATATTTGTATATATATGTATATAGATATTTATATTTATATATTTATATATATATATGTAGAATATGTGTGTGTGTGTGTAAATTTGTATATTATATATATATATGTGTGTGTGTGTGTGTGTGCGTGTGAATATGTATATATACATATATATGTGTGTGTGTGTATGTATGTGCACATATGTATAAATAGATTTATATAGATTTATAAAAATATATAAATGGGTTTATATATATAATGTATATGTATACTTCTATTTCTATGTATGCATGTATGTTTGTATGTATGTTTGCATGTATTTTTGCGTGTATGCATGTATGCATGTATGCCTGTATTTATCTGTGTATGAATGTATGTATACAGGTATGGCCTAACTCATACACGCAAATCCCAAACCGTCGCTTGTATATGTCTGCAGTATTTCTTTCTATCAAGACTATTGCATTCGTATTCACATTTACCCCCGTCCATCGGCAGGCTTTATTGGTGAGGCACTTAACAGACAAATCGCTTGGCAGAGCAGAAGCGGTATTCGAGCATATGAGAGATCAGGACAGTTGGAAGAAATCCTTTGAGCCCGACAGTGATACACACGAGGCGTTGGGTGAAGTTGTGGCTAGTTTAAATTTACTTTGGGAACAAGGGAAGCTTTAGGTCCACTGGGGGTTTTACCGCGCTTGGGGTGGAGACTTGATTGTACGATCTCACACGCTATTAACGGACGGCTAGGAAAGTTGTATCATATTATAAGCTAATCCATAACATTAGTGTAGTACACCAATATTAAAGAGACTTTTTAGTAAACCGGACTAGTGGCCCATAAATCCAATGTGACGTTACAGTATACCGGAGTTATAATTACACATGAATTCAATGTGAATAGGTTTGTGGTGTGAAAATGGTTCCATGCGTATTGGCCTATGAAGTTCCCTACTTTGCAGACATTACTTGCAAGGCGGTGCTTCTGCAGCGCAAGAAATAATCAAATTGACCCAAAAGTGAATCCTCGCACCTCGCACTGGCCTATGACTAGTCCACCATGCCAAATAGAAACACAGTGCCTAATATACAATTACAGCGCCAAATATAGAATCACAGTGCCTAATACAGAATTACAGCGCCTAATGTACAATCACAGCGCCTAATATACAATTACAGTGCCTAATATACAATAACAGCGCCTAATATAGAACAACAGCTCCTAATATAGAACCACAGCGCCCAATATAGAATTACGGCGCCTAATACAGAAATACAGCGCATATTATAGCATTATAGCGCCTAATATAGAATTACAGCGCCTAATATACAA